GTGGCCTATTTACGGAACTGGTACAGGTCTTTCCTGATCTCAACCTCCATCTCGGATTTGACGAAGTTGAATTGGCCTGTTGGTATGCTGCATACTCACTGCGGTTCCTAATTCTTCGAGGGGGCGGCTTTCCGGGTGAATTAAAAACCATTTCTCTGATTGGGAAAGGTTAAGTTAATCGCCAACCCTGGGTACTTCTTGCCCCAGAAGTCTGTATTAGTTTAGTTTTTAGTTAGGTCAGTTTTTAATTTACCTTAATTTATTTACTTTAGTTTAATGTATAGTAGTTTTTAAGTTTATTTATCTACCGTTGGCGGTATCTAGCGCAACTAAGCTACACCGAAACTAAAATTAAACTAAATAATAAACTAAAAACTAAACTAAAACTAATAAACCTAAAATTAACCACAAGGCTAGGAGCTAGGGGTACCTAAGGTGGGCAACCATCTTAACTTTTACCCTCTGATTTTACCAAACGCAGACAGTAGGATATCCTAAGTCGTGTATTTTAGTTCTTAACCATGCTATGTCTTCTAGGATTTTCAGTTTGCTTTAATATTTCTCCTTTACCTTAACCCAGCATGCTATGGTCGAGCATTCGTAACATCACAAATCATTGACATATGTTTTGTAAAAGGATCGATAGGTCTCTAGTTTTTGAATGGACCTATTCACCGTTTTAAAGTATCTTTAAAGTACTTATTTTTTGCCAGTGGAAGTGTTTGTGGTTTTTTAATACTAACATTTTGTGGGTTTGCTTCGGGGCAGTGGACCTGATTATGTGCACTCCTATGTAGGTTGTCTTCTTTAATTGCGAATGGTGTGTTAGTTCGACCACCGCAATCCATGAGGTCCACCATGTGCCTGAGAGCAGGGACGGTGGCTGCGATCAGGTATAGTGAAAGTAGACGCGCCGCCACCTATCCCACCCTAAACCCTCTTCTGTTTGAACCGCTGACAAGACAAAGTCGAGATGACCGAGCGGGAATTGGGCATAAGCCGCTTTCTCCAGATGCAGCCAGAAACACCGGCTAACTTAGTTTTAAGTGACAGTAGCCTTTTGCGCTAATACTACTGCACTATTTACCCCCGTTCACGCATAGTAGGTGCCCAGAAAGATTCGAGGAGCCCGAGCCTATTATTTCTACTACTGTAAATACTATTTATACTGCTGCTTCTAGCGGTGTATCTGAGTGATTATAGTGCTAGTACTATTACTGACGCTAATATTTGGTCGGAAATGACATTGATTAGAGTCAGGTCTGGGCCCGTGTTCCCTTGATCTCACATAGAAATGGGGACCTGAATTTTTGCCATTCCCGGTAGAGTAGGTGTTTGAAGCTCGGAGCACATCAGTGCTTGTTGTGGCTGTCTCCTAAAGTTTATACTACTAGGGCTAGGATATTACTGTTAGAAGTGCTGGTTATAGTAATTATACTTGCTAAAACCAGTAAATGGCATGCATGCAGTCGTAACTCATATAGGGATTTTTTAATAAGCTGAATGGTTTAGGAAACGTGTATTTAATACTAGCTGAGGATCTACTATGCATTTGGGTCGTAACACAGTCTCAATATAGTGACGATATAATATCAGGTTGACGATAGTTCGACCGCCAATTTCGATTATGTCCACCATATGCCTCTCTTGTAGTCACTGGATGTAACTTTCGATAGACAACGCACAGCCTCAGGGTACCGTCTTTCTGCATGGTTAGCTCAACGGTTACCATGCCTTTATCTCGAAAGTTAGTGCCATTTATAGTCTTCAGGCTAACTATAAAATTGCCACCGTATCCAGCTATAGTTTGGAAGTTACAGAACGTCTCCTGTCTAACTAAGGGCACAACATGTTACAGAATTAGCTTAGCGTAATAGCATAGTATTTCCTATGCTGTAACATTATCTGAGTGGTTAGACATGCATCTTAAATTTACACTAAGCATAACTGATTGGAATAGGCACTTACAAGCTTTCTTGTCCTCCACGGAAGTGATCGGAAGAACATGATGATTATACTGGGTTGGTTTTTGTCGCTGTACGGATGACGCAGACCAGCTGATACAGACAGGTGCTCATGGGTGATGTAGCCGTTGAAAGTCACTTGATAAAGTTTCGTGTCGATCGAGCGCCCAGATTGGTTTGTGAGCAACCAATACCACCCGGTTTTGCCCGCGACAGTTTGGTCATCAATTTTGACGATGTCCAAGTTATGCTCCAAACAGTTTGCTGCAGTGACTTGAGCGCGAGTTAGGTTTTAACCGCATCATCATCATCAACCGCAGTCTCTCTCTCTTCCCTCATCCATTTCGAATTGTACTGTCGACTGGAAGCGCTCAGTATCACTAATTATGTTTACTTCTTCTGACTATCACTGAAACTAGTTTAGCGTCCCATATGCCGCAGACAGCTGCGTCGTTCTCTAGCACCGAGTACTAAACCCTGGGCATTCTCTATCCAGTCAATTTCCCGTTCCCTTGGATTCCCTCGCCCTTGCGAGCCATCGAAGCAT